AAACAAAAAAACCTGTTCAGTGTGAGAAAGCAGTTTGTAGCATCAGAAGACAAGTTAGATCTTTCAAGTCAAACGAAACTTACCACACAACTCCCACTGCCATCAACCAAGAACTACATGGTCAAACTCTCCTATTTGGTTTTAAATATAGCACCACCATTGCAATTTTCAACTTCACATGTTTGCTAATTCAAATTTTTAACCGGACTCTCTAGCATTATGTTGTGCATAGTATTCACATCTACCTAAAGTTTGGTAACATGCAACTAAGAAGTTAATGCATGCTGAAACACTTGGAGCAGATTAGAACTGTATTATTACATAGAAACACCCAAGCATAGAGCCTGACACAGAGCCCTTGCCCTTATGCTGTAAATGGGATACTTCCCACATGTTCAAATTTGTCATTGCAAGAAGAGTTCTGTTTTACAAAGACTAGGCCTTGGGGCTGACAACACTCTAGACAATGAGCAGCAGCACTTGCACCAGCTGCTCCAGGCCAAAACCTCCCTTTCGCCCCCCATCTTTCTTCGGCCTTGACAAAGGCAGGGAATCAGGGACAAGGATGACCACCTTTTTATTTTTGGAAAAGTCATTTGACAGAACAGTTTTTTATAGAATCATTGAATCATTATGGTTGGAAGAGACCTCAAAGATCATCAAGTCCAACCGTATACCTGATGACACCATGCCCACTAAACCATGTCTCGAAGCGCCACATCTAAACGTTTTTTGAACACCTCCAGGGATGGTGAGTCCACCACCTCCCTGGGGAGCCTGTTCCAATGCCTAGCGACTCTTACAGTGAAGAAGTTCTTCCTAACGTCCAGCCTGAATCTCCCCTGGCGCAACTTGAGACCATTATGCCTTTTTTTTTTTTTAAAACATACCTGTAAATTCTCTGTTCGTGTCTCTTCAATGACCTGAGATGTTGTGGGCCAAGTTAATACTCCAGGTACAATCTTATGATTAACCATTGTTTGTGATTTCATGAACTGGTCGAGCGCATCTGAAAATCTGAAGTTTGAAACAGGTACAACATGTTCAGATCTTATATGATTAACTTCTACATGGCCTGTAATACTTTCACAAATCATTTTATGATCCAAGGAAAAAACAACGGTAACTGTATGTGTAATGAAAGAGCACCTAGTTCATTAAGTTATCTGTTTAAGGACTCCTCAGTATAAAAGAGTCAAGGAGTGAGCCAGTAAGCCAGCTTGGGTAAGGGGCCCAGAGTCCAGGCATGGACACGAGGCAGACACAGCCTGCGCTGATATTCAAGGGACCCATGAACGTGGGTGTGCGTGTCAATACAGAGTGAGGGCATACATATCTTCACGACTGACCCTCAACCCTGGCCAGCCAGGGAGGAGGTACAGAACTCTGCTACTTATGTTTTACATGAGTTCAGGTAGTGCTATACATGGGAGCCTGGGGTAGTCCAGGTGGCCAGCTGTGTTGGGGGGTGTGTGTGTGTACATGCACCTCTTTGGGATACACACGCAGCCTCACTACAGGTCAAAACTGCCAAGGGAAATATGAGACACATCCACAGGACTGGGACACAGATACCTCCTGGGTTTCACACGGCAACTGGCTACGCCGTAGCAGTGGGAAATAGGAATCCCCTCTCAGCATCCAACACTCTCTGGCCAGGTGCTTTTAGATATTCCACATGAGGAGGGTTTAAGGTTTAATATCAAACTTATTTGATTTATTTGGCATTGCATTGGGTTTACGTGACAAGGTTGGGCGGCTGAGTGGGGGCCAGTGCTGCAGGGATGGCCTCTGTGGGGGGAGACCAGAGCTGCCCCAGTTCGAGTTGGCTCACACAAACGCACCAGAGGGCACAGCTGAACCCCTCAGGCAAGATGGCAGCACCTCAGGGAAAGCAGGGGTAAGGAAGGAAAAAACATACTGCACTTCTGTGAGGAGTAAGGAAAAAAAAATAAAATGTGAGAAACAGTCCCTCAAGCACCAAGATAAGAAGGAGGAGGGGAGGAGGTGCTCCAGGCATGGAGCAGAGATTCCCCTGCAGCCCCTGGAGAAGACCCTGCTGGAGCAGGGACCCACACTGCAGCCATGGAGGCGGCCTGTCAGCCCCAAAGGAACCGTGGCTCCCGGAGAGGCCCCATGCCGCAGGAGGGGAGGAGTGCATGGAGGAGGAAGGAGCGGCAGAGAGGAGCTATTACGGACTGACCACAACCCCCATTCCCCATCCCTCTGTGCAGCTTGGGGGAGGCGGAGGTAGAGGAGTTTGGAATGAGGGAGTGAAGTCTAGAGCCTGGGATAAAGGCGCAGTAGCAGCAACAAGATTTTAGGTTTGTTTTTTTTTTTTACTTTGTTTCCCACCATCCAACTCTATTTTAACAAACAATAAATTATTTTTCCTCAAGTTCAGTCTATTTTGCCTATGACTGTAATTGACAAGTGATCTCCCTGTCTTTTTCATCTTATTTTCTCCCCCTTTCCCCTTGAGGAGGGGGACTGGGAGCACAGCTGGATGAGGGTCTGGCAGCCAGCCAAGGTCAACCCACCACAGGCATTACCAGGGATTTTGATTAAGTAGAGCAATACAGTGACATACTGAAATCAAAACACAAGCACAACATAGCAATTGCAATACACAGTTGAATCAATACAAATGTGATTCCCATTACCAGTCTCTATATGCTTACCGTCAGGATGCTGAGAAGAAACACCACCAGGAATACATGGGTTGAAGCCAACTCAAGCCCTTTGCTCTTAAACTTACTAGCTATCCAGCTTCTGCATTTTGTGTTCAGCTGAGCCACGTATACACTCCCCTCCTCTCCCATCCTCCTCTGGCTAGCTCAGGAAGACATTACTCTTTATCTCAGAGAACCCGATGACTCACTGGTGCAGCTGCCTTATCTAAAACCAAGGTTACCCTCCAGTCTCCCTAGTGTTGAGATAAGTTAAGCTTTCTTTACGATACATTTTTCCCCTGAGATCATCATTTTTTGTCCTTCTATGAGCTCTCCTCCACTGCAGGGGTGCGCTGGTCAGTCAAAGCCCCGTGCCCTGGAGTCCGCTCGATTCAGAGGCTGCCCTTAGAGCCTTAGCAGTAACAAAGTTGTAATAAATCAGCCTGATGTATGAATTCGCGATTAACAAAGAATAATTAAAAAAAACCCCACACATGGTTTCTCAAATGCAAATAGCTTTTGTATCAAACTTCGAAGCTTTAAATTATACCAACCTGTTTTGTCTGAGATATACTTTTCCAATGCCATAGTATGCCAAACAACCAAATCTTTCTTCCTGGTACTGTTCAATTATTTTCTTAAACTGATCTTCAGCCTTCGTCAATGCCTTCAAAATAAATTTAAGACAAAAATATGTGGCGCTTTGCCAGAAGCTTTCTGCTTTTCCTCTCCTCTTTTTGCTCCAGTAGAGTGGGTCAGTATGCCCTATTCTTTGATCAGTCTTACGAATCGTAAAGGGAATTAAGCAACTTTATGATAACACACAAAGGCTTCTCTTGTTTGAAAAGAAACTTATTTTGTAAACATGGGCTCCCTCTGAAATAATGAAATTAAATGATTGAGCTCACTGAGCTACAAACACCCAGACATTTTTAAATTCATTGTAAGACACTGACTATTTTTAAACACTGCAGGAAAAAAACCCACACCAACACAAAAAACCCCCAGAGAACCCACACTTCTGTTTTGGTGTTTCTCAGAACCAAAAGCATTCTCTTTCTCTTGTTTTAGAAGCAGAATGTTTGTGTTAGACTAGTGCATAACCACATTACAACAAAGCAGAAGAAAAATAATTGACTATACTTCATTAATACTTAAGAACCTCCTTTGAAAGTTTAAAAAGAAATTTGGTAGCTTAATTAAATCCAAACTCACTAAAGATCTAGTCCCAGGTATTAAACTATATGATTCTAAAATGTGACAAAAGCTTCCCTTCCCCACTCATTTGATGTCTGATAAGAAGAGACAAAAATGGATGGCCCACTACCTAAACTAGAATTTTGAATAAAAGCAATATAGCGGCTTAATGTCATACCTCAGGTTGTCCTATTCCAAGAAGAGCAGTGGCATGTCCATAGATGATTACAACATAATTAATAATACGAAGATTCAGTTGCTGCAAATAGAGTCACATTGTAGTAGCAGCATGCACAAAAACACTTTGCTGGTAACTGGAACATCACTGTCTACTGTGAATTGAAGATCTTCACTACAACACAGCTAGGAAACTTTTTTTTCCATCCTTCTTATCATAGCCTCTACCCAGATTTATGTTACAATTACCATAAAAAGTGAAGGTTAACTACACCTTTACTGCTGGTCATTTGGCAACCCTATATACTTCAAAGTGATACATCCTGAAACGTCTGCTTTTAGAAATGCTATAACTATAGGCCTTACTGTGTTGACTTCATGCAGTGCAGTGCGTCTTTGCTATATTTCACGTTCAGAATTGAGCAGAATTTTTTCTTTTTTTAAAATAAAAAAACTCCTTCCTCAACTTTTTCCTTCCTCATAAGCTAGGTCACAATTCCAGATGGATTGGTGCATTACTTGTTTGGACAGACTTCTCGTTGGCACTGCAACAGCCCTTACTAAAATGGGAGCTTGAAACATAGCAAAGCATGTGCACACACATTGTCACACAAAATTTAATATTACAGTGCAATAATTCAAAGAAATCTTTGACGATGAATGGGTCAACGGCCGACTGGCTAGATACATTTACACAAAATTTCACAGTATTTGCCATCAAAGAGTTACCTGACCTTATAAATTCTTTATACCCCACGTTATTACAAAAAAAGGTTAAGCTGACAATGGACAGTAGTTTCTTATCAAATAAGATATTTGATAGAGTATCTTGTATTATGCTTGTAAGAATACTATTGTGGTAAATATTTTTTAGATTGCATCTAAAAATGCACATGTATGCTGAATATTACAAAAACAGATCCTATGCTACGATAGGTTTTTTTTGAATCTTGTTCTCATTTATAAGCTCCTTGGCATACTTATCAGCAAAATACTTGGCATTGTAGTCAATATCACAGGCAACAAATCAATAATAATCATTGTTTTGGTGGAAGCAAAGAATGAAACACAGGATTGAAAGTATAAACTTCAAGTAGTCTAAAAAAAAAAAAAAAACTAAGTTATTAATCCCAGCTTACCTTAAATTCTGAAGGATTTAGAATGCTCAACAATTGTGAAAAGGCTTGTTCAGCACTGTGACACCGCTGGTCCATCAAGGCTGTATAACCATCACGAACAAGGGATTTAACCTCTTCTGGCAACATAGTTAAATCCACCTAAAATATTTAAGAAAACCAGTAAGTCCAAAAGAAAACAGTCTTTTTTTTTTTTAAAGCAAGTGAGTTATTTGCTAAAATACTTATCCAACAGACAACTGTCAAAATTCCGTACTACCTACAGTTTTATCAAGATTTCTCTTTTAAAGCAGCAAATCAGGTACATTTACATAAAACTCTGTTTTAAATTCAATTTCTAAAAACTTTAGATTTTCATGGACGTCCTGCTGCTCATCTCTTAAAATAAAAAAAAATCTAGTTTTTGTTCTGAGTTCAGATCCTTTTCTCTCCAGAAAGTTTCAAGTTTAGTTCAAGAATAATTTTAATCCTTCTTACATATACATCTATTAAAAAAAAAAAACAAAACCACCAACTCAGACTTATGCTTTTCCTCACTTGTACACTCCATTTTTGTGTACAAACATCCTTGAAAACCCTCAGAACTGCTTCCTTCTGCCTACACTTCCTCTCCGTCTAGGTTAATCGCTAATGCTAGAAGATTTCAGAATGCATTGTGTTATTAGAATTTCACTATAGATACTTCCTGAAGTCTGTGGGTATTTCCAGCAGCAAGACTGTAAATCAAGACAAGCAGTTGCAGAATCAGGAACTTGAATTCCCTTGATCTGTTGAAACACTAAAATAAAACTGGCTTTGAGAAGCAGATCACTGTGCCAAGGTAGAAGTAATCTGGCTATCTAAGAAGCTCCTCCAACATGTACTCCTACAATCAGAAACAAAAACCAAAGAGGAACAAGGAGACCCACTGGGGTATCTTAGGCCACTACCTCATTTCAGTTTGAATTAATCTTCAGTATGAAGTAATCCTATTTTACAAGGTTTTTGTTAACTGCCCTTCCCCTCTAATATGTTAACATTTGAGTCTGGGATTCTGAAGACAGGGTTGCGGGCAGGGAAAAACTGAAAAAATGGGAAGGTTTGGGATGAATGGAAAATAACAGCTTTTGAGTTGCCTGATTTTTTTAACATTATTCTAATGGTGTACTTAATTGTATTTCTGTGAACTGAATTAGGCTTTTGACACACTAAATTTAATGCATGTCCTGAATGTATTTTCCTAAGCATTTATGAATTTCGATCTTACAGGCAGGTCTTCATCCTGCCAACTGATCAAAAATGACAAACATAAGAAGATACCTATGATCTAATGATAGTGATAAACAAAAGTGGCAGGGACAGTGGAAACTACAAATAGATACAGAAAAAAACAAAATACAGAAATGAGTTAATGAAAAAATTATTAAGACTTATTTTAATTTCCTAGAACTATTGATACAAGTTAATGCTGTCAGAGCATATAGTTATAGAACAGAACAAATTACATTAATGTTAAACTACATAACATACGAAGCTGATTAAGCCAATTAAAACCATTACTTTTGATACTAGTTAAAGCATTAGCCTTACAAAAATAGGTATTTTAAAGGAAATAAGGGGTCTTAGTGCAGGCAGAACCTATACCTTCTCCTGAATCCAGTTTTGTCTTACGAGGTAATTAATCAGAATAGAGTTTTCTGGTATCTACTTCCTCAAATTATCAGAGAGGAAATGATTAATCATGTACATCCCCATGATTTCACTCGAGAATTTTGGGATACGCATCATTCATTGCTGATAAGACCCGAGAAGGACAATTCTCGATTTATGAATTTTATTGCATTTTAAACAGCCATTCAACAGAATGTGCTATGATTATTTCCAAATGTATGCAACAAACACAGGAAAACATATTTAGTCAGAACTTTGAGAGGGGTATTATAAATCCCTGAATGATTCACAGCAATTTTTGTAGTTTTTCTTACAAATTAAGATACAAGGGAGCTGTATTACCGGGTCATGGTTTTAGCTAGTGACTACACTGAGTTTTGCTACACTAACTTCCAGTGTGAGGTCTTACAGGAGGGGAAGGAGGAGAAGCAAAAAGAAGACTACCAGCAACAAGACAGTATAAATCAGTGTAATCACACAATCTTTGTCTCCTGGTAAAAGTCACACTAAGCGTGAAGTGTTAAATTTTTGAATGAATCAAGGTTTTGGACAGTGTTACTAAAAGGTCACAAATCATTTACACTTAAGGTTGTATGTTACCTGTTGCACAGTAGAGAATAGTTTATCTTGGATGGTTTTAGGCTCTATCTTCAAATCAAGGTGATCTCTACAAATAACAGGACAATGGTATCATGAGTTTGTACATATACTTTACATGTAATCTTATTTTCAAGAAACAGAAATTTCTGTGCTTTTATCAACCACATCACATTTGCCCGCATGCTAGAGATTGTTACAGCACACTTTCACAATCGCAGTAACAAGTACTGTAACACTATCAAGGATTATGATACTATTCATATAGTTCATATGCTTCTGGCTCAGGAATCACTAGGGCTTCAGGGAAGCAGCAGTCTTTTCCATCATTTTATTTGTTTTCTTTTACCTTCACCTTATTCTCAGCTGAGTTGATCTTACGAAGGGGTGGGACAGGTGACTAGAGAAATTCCCCATACCAAAGGCAGAGCATAAGAAGGTGCTTAGGTCTCTTTCTCCTTCTCTGCTCTTCCTAAGTACAAGATCCTTTATCCTAGCACAACCACTGCTTAAAATCAAATACATGCAGCAGCTACGTGTGGTGGGAGCAGTGAGAGCAGAGCAGAGAGGAACACAGCCGTTCTTCCCAGCTCTTCCCTTTCCACTACTGCAGCAGAAATGCCATGCACAACTAGAGAATGCAGACAGTATAAGGAAGAGGCAAAGTATTGCTTAATATTCTAAACTACATTCTCAATGCTAAGATTGCTAGTCCATGCTGAATGCTACTAGATTGCCTTTTGCTAACATATAGTCAGTTCTGTCCCACATTTGAGGGCATCAAACACTCATCTGAGATAAATTCTTTACAGTGTCAGAGGATCCCCTAGATTTTGGAAGCCAAGCAACCTGCTAATTACAGAAATGGAGATAAGATTGTAACTGACCGTGCACCTCACTTGTTGAGAGATAGCGTGTTTTTTACAGGTCTAATAAACTTTCCCATGACAGAAGCAATTTTATAGATGGCTCAGTTACGTTAAAGAGCATTTGTTCCCATAGTGAATTCTAACATTTTTTCCCCTCCTCTTAAAGTGAAAGGAGAAAGAAGTCAGTGACAACCCAGTTCAATAATATAAATGACCTCTCCTGTGACAAAGTTTCAATTGTCCTAGAGTTATGGAAAAACAAAAGGACTGTACTGTAATAAATATAGATTAAAAGAAGTTAGGTTTTGTGGTCACACTTAGATTAGGACTGGGGATAACTGGGTTCAGCTTCTAGGTTTCCTAAAGGCTTGGACTCTTCTACATGAGAAATCTGCCTTTAAAAATTACCACTTAATGGAAACTTCCATATTTCAACGTAAACAGCTTCTTTTGCTGTACCCCTCATCTGTTTTTAATCACCCTAAACACAACTAAAAACATGAGCTGAAGAAGCATGCAAGCGAGAAAGTACAGTCAGAGCTTAATTTGTCTAATTTCACACGTAGGTTTAAAACCTGAAAGCTTCCATTTCTGCATGTCCTTAAGTAGTAAGTCATCATTTGCCTCAGTCACCTTACAAATAAATCAGCAGTAACAGTTCTTTATTCCTTAACTGTCTATTAGATGAGGAAATACGTTGGCATATGGAATCACCTAAAAATGCAGTGATTTCGCCAAACCTGTTTGGAGCATGTTGGCCCCAGTATCACTGCAAACAATTATTTCATTTGTAACATTTAAAACAAAGTTTAACAACAGATGGAAATATAAATTTTGTCCATAAAAGTCTATAGCACTTTTTATCTCAACCAATTTGATTTTGGCCCCAAACCATCAAACGTACTCATTTACATTCAGTATGTTCTACAGGGAGTATTCATGTACTCAAAATTAGACGTTGACATGCTTTAAGCAAAAACTCAAGTCTACAAACAACTAAAGGACTCTTTAAGTGAAAGTTCTTCTCTAGTATTCAATTCCGAGACTCTTAGGATGCTTTCCTTGCAGTCAAACCTCTTCTTCTTAGTAAGCATATGAAGTGTCAGAGAAGTTTTAAAAATTCTTTGTTACACAGAGTAGAACTAGTACAAAGAGGCCTTGAAAATAAGATAGAGCTTGAGTTATGTTGTGGTATAAGTTTAAATGTAACAATTGGAATGAGATTCCTATTACCTTCTGCTGTAAAGGAAGCACATTTGTTGTTATGGCTATACTGTGTGATTTGCTTTTGGGCAACAGTTTTTAAACAGCAGTTATTAAAATTATGCCTTCATTTACTAAAATTCAACTGAGCTTTGGAAAATATTTAGTTTTCAAGCAATAACTCAGGCTGTTCGTGAAAACTGGAATTTTGTGAACTTTAATCAGCTATCTTAATACGAAGGATATTCTGAAGAGTATGTAAACAATGTAAATAAAGCAATTAGCAAAGAGCAAGCAGCAAGTGAAAGTTGCATTAACTCCTTTTTAAGTGCTACATAAAGTATCTCAAAAAAATAATAAATTAAAAAGTAAGTAAAATTTCTTACCTGGTCTTTTCAGAGTCACCAGCTTTGATTTTTGGCCTTCCTTTGTTTTGATGACTTCGGTCTGTAATGAGAAAAAGTATTTCAAACAAAATAATCATCACCTAAAATAAAGGAAAAAAAGATGCACTCGGAACTCACGTTTTGCTTTATTAATAATCGATCTTAAATATTTACAATATCGAAAACTAACACATCCGAAAAGTTTTTCAAAAAAGCCACCTCTGATTGTTATAGTATGAATTTGGTATTATTTTTATTAAATAGTATAGGATTTTATTGATCCTATAAAGGGGAAAAGATACTTCAAATAAACAGAAGCATCTTAAAATTCTGTAAGATACAATCTGACTCTACAATATGGTAACAACTATTAAAGTAGACTCCAAGCCAAAGAAATTCATATCTGGTATCAAAACCACAGTTGATATTATTCACTATTAGTTGATAACTAGAACTTTTAAAGGGAATAATAGATAACTATGGACATTCAAGTTTGACTGCAGAAACTTTACAGAGTCTGCTACTTCAAAAATAGGTTGCTAAAGGAGTTAAGTTCAACTCACATTAATCTTCGAAATGTGAACATGAGTCTGATCAAGATAAATGTACAAAGTAAAAATGTTTGACAGTGCAGAAATACTGGATCACAAAGACAAGAAAGAATCTATTATGTGATACTGATTCATTTCTAACTCTGAAACTTAATGTCAAAAGACTTAACACAAAACTTTACCAATGCACTTCACAATTTCAGAGATCTAACATTGTCACTGATTAGTTACAGGGCTCTACAAGGTGAGTAAACAATTAATTAGTAACAAGGAAGAAGAAAACATGTTGTAATACTTTATTGTACTTGGTCAAAACCAGGAAGCCATGCCTTTAACTGCAAAATAATCTCTCAACCGTTTTCTGTGGAATTAAAATACAACATTAGGCATCTGAACGTGCACATGCATCCTCAGGATTAAGTCAGTAAGTTTTTCATTTTCAAGAATTTTAAGTTAGAACTTTACAAGGCATTAACAATTCAGCAGCAACAGTGACAAAATTCACTTATGGGAGAGCTGCCTTCTAGTAACCCGACAATTAAGACAAGCAAGGCAAAAAATAGCATTTCTGGACGGGTAAGGAACCAACAAGCAGCTGAGAATTCAGTTGCCGAACTGCTGAGCATCAACGTTGCAGGTGTTCCTTACTACACATGGTAAATTGAAGGGGTGTGGAGCAGCAGATTTTTTTTTTTGCTAGCTAAACCTAATGGTTTTTACAAGGCATATAGGAATGTCACCTTCTGCCCCAGTTACCTGTTCCAAGAGCGGATAGTTCCACCTATCATCTTTCAGAATCAGTTCAGGAGGCAACTGTGGCTTCCTAATATTGGACACTATCACATAGACAATATTCAGTCCAGTATCTCAATTCAAGCTATTCCAGCACTGGAACCCAAACATAAGGTACAGCTACCTAAATCATTAAATGGATTTATTATTATGCTTATGCTGAACTACCATAAAATCAAATTTGAAAAAAGGAGTTATTCATCTTATATATAAAGTTTCAGTAACTATCTATGCTTAAAAAGGTTTATTTCATGATACTCAAGAAAGTATTTGAGATAATTAGATACAAAATACTGAAAGACACTGATTTTGGAAAAATACAAGTCTACCCATTTGAGTAATCTCACTCAAGCCAGTGCGATGTCTCATGTACTCATTTCTTAAGTTAAATCATATGCATACGCATTTCATGCCTTGTGCCAGAAGTAATTTTTCATTAAAAAGTACTTAATGACAAAAAATTTAAAATTAATCAAAAAATCAAGCATCATGAAAATTGAACATGTTCAGAATTATTTCATGAACCATTTCTTGAAATTGTCATACAGGAGTCTGAATAGTTATCTGCTGAAACAGTTCATATGCATTAAAATCGCCAAAGCCGCATTAACAATCATCACAAATTCCTCAATATAGAGACATTTAAATGATGGAAAACAATAATTCTTTTGAAAGCCAGAAAACACTTCAAGTATATCATCATTTAACCATTTAGAGACTGAGCTGTATTACCTTTTCTTCATTACATTGGTTCCTTTCCCTTAAGGAACCAATCTATCATTTAAAAAAAAAAAGTAATCTTAATGAAGATAAAGGAATACAAGCCTTCCCTCTCACCACCAAAAGAAAGAATTAATCAGCACTATTTTTTTATTGAATGATCTAATTTTAAAAGCCATTCAACAATAAATGATTTCAGAAAAATTTCCTACAGAAACTACTACTCCCACATACCATCCAACTTAAAAAGATAATACTTTCAGATTTTTAAAAAATACTTTTAAATAAAAGTAACAAGCAAATCC